TATATATATATATTAATGTAATGTAATGCTAATGGTTTAATTATGTTTTATTTGCAAAACATACTGTATAAAAACTGAACAAGAAAAAAAGTATAATCATGTTGTTGCCAATGTAGATTGTGCCTGGCTGGCTGTTTCGCGGTGTGTGTGACGTCTATGCACATAGGCACACAAGATTCCAGAAGCTTCTTCTGTTTTCAAAGGAGCACGGGAGCACCTGCTACTGCACTTTCCAGAAAACAGGGTAAGTTTTATCTCATGATAACTTGAAAGTACGTGGTTGTACTTAAATATAATATGGTGGCGTATTTTGATGGGCGCAGTGCATTTTGACGAGTAAAAATCTTCAGTTAGAGCGAGCTAGTAGCTCTAACGCTATCTAGCTTGCAAGCTAGTGTTTTTAAAGGCTATTTTTTACGAAAATTCATCTTCGAAAGGTGGGGATAATGTTAGTTCAACCAGTTTAATTAATATTATATTGCCATTGACAAACGCCTTAAAGGCGGTTTTTGATGTGAAAGGACCTAAGCGTCCTGCATGCACTTACAGGTTGGTTCATACAGTCTGGGATCAGAGCCAGCAAATACATACATCAAAGAAATCCAAAATTCGTGGTCCAAAGGGAAGTCCATTAAGCTGATACACATAGAAGCAGTTCGAGTAGAAGGGGCAGGCAAAATACGGTGGTCCAAAAACAGAAATCCAGGGTCACATACTAAAACATCAGGTAAGAAATAATGCTGGAAAGTCAGAGCTGAAGTCTAGAATAATCTTGCAGCAACCTGATGGGAGGACACTGCCTAAATAGGGGTGAAAACAGGTGCAAACAATACGAAGCAGGTGAAACTAATGTGAGTGATGACTAAAGTAAAAAGCCCGAAACTGTGGTGAAACCAAAACAGGAAGTAATGTCAAAATAAAAGCACGACAGGAAGCAATGGAACCGAATCATGACACTGCCATTGTTCTTATCAAACCTTGCTTCTTGTTTGCATTTGGGTCCTTGCACACACACTAAAATATAACATGTTTACAAGAAATGGTAGTAGTCATATGGTGCTCCTGTCAGTTGCGTTCTAGTTGTGTGGATGCTGTCAAGCATCCACACTATGCTCTCCTGTTCTTTATTGTGTGGATGCATGTTATCCTGTTCTTTATTATTCTGGTGTCTACCACTGTTCTTCGGCACCTAACTCCTTCCACATACTTTCACCTAGAAGGGCCATTGAGGTATCAAATTGTTTATCTCCTTAAGGACATGTGTGCTTGTATACAACTTTTTTATAACTTTTATACTTTTTAAGATATTCAGCTTTTTTTTAATTTATAATGAGAGTCATGCAAATGATCTGACGTCATCCTGGTTGTCCTTCGGCAAAGCAAATCCTTCTAGATCCTGGACAATTTCACTCCTTGTACAGGTCAGCCGTTGTGACCTGGAACTTTAAACTCACACACCGAGTCCTAGAATCTGTCTGTCTGCTCGCTGTACACAGGCATTTCATTAAACAACATCAACTCTCCTAGACTAATCATCACCCAAAAAGGATCTGCAAATGACTGGAAGGAATAAGCAGAATGAATAACACAAAAATGGAGAGATACCAATAAAACAATCCTCATTGAAATGGAACAATAAAATGCAGAATCATATGTAGATGCAAAATAATCAAAAATAGAAAAGAACAAATACTGCAAACAACCGAAAAATGGAAAATTAATCAGTAAGGTCATCCTTATTAATCAGAGTATCAATCATTTGTAACATGTCCGGCAATAGTAATCTAATCTACATCTTCATTTACT